CTCAAATAAGTCAGGGGGGGAAACCGCTTTTTTTTAGACATTCAGTCTTCTTCAGTGTTGAGCTTCCTTTCCGTGTTGAATGCAGAAGAGATCGTCTCGCAAGCAAAGCATTTGCTACGAGATCTTCGTCTTTTGTAGAGCAGGATAAGCAGAACGTATCAGAAAAAGAAAAAGATAAAATAAGCCATTTCTTGCACCTGACTTTTGTTGCAGGATATTACGCGAAGAAACGATAGCACGTCTATTATCGTTTCTTCGTTGCCTTCCTGTAGTTAGCTTCTTGCTAACGGGCGGATGTCTCAATTAAGATCGAAGGCGATCGACTGCAATTACCGACGATTTTCACACCGCCATTCTATCGCGTCTCCCTTTCTTGCGGGCCTTCGCTTCCTCTTCCCTTTGAAGACACAATAATGACCACCTCGCGAAAACAAAACTACGCTTTGCACGCGCATCAATCAATTATTGCGCTGTAAGCTACGCAGCTTCATGCAACAGAGGCTGCATGCATGCATTCTCAATGCATTGCGCGAACAAATGACTCGAACCGTTTCCTTCATTCGCTCCGTTGTGTTTGCTTTAATAGAAAAAATGATAAGTTGTATTGTTGAATGACCCGCGCAGAAATTCGTATTAATTAATATCAAAGTTGAAAGAATTTAGTCTCGTTCAAATATTGTATAAAAACATGTACTTTAGAAATGAGTTTATCAAAGTTGGAAGAAAATGATGTAATTTCAAGGAAATACAAATATCGGTATCGGTCAATCATATAGCGAAACTCTCTTTTCTTGTTTTCTTTGGTGAATTTCGGAGTGAATATATACTCGCAATAATATTGTACGCTTGCCACGTGTATGAATTAAAAAGAAAATACGGAATGTATATGAACACGTGCGTATGTCCCTGAAGAGGTTAAATGATAATCTCTCACAAGACACTCGGCCAGAGCAAAAAGTGGTGTGTTATGTTGTGATTTTACGTCGGTTCGATGTATGATACCGTAGATAGATGTCCATCGACGTAACGGATAAATCGTCCACTTGTTAGAAACTATATACCGCTGTTTAAGGCTGTAATTTCAGGTTGCAGAGGACATTTGCTCTCTCCCAAGATAGCTCGCGCTGAAAAGCGCGCGCGCGTATATGCGCCTTCGTGCGTGCGTGCGTACGTACCAGTTTAAAATAGGAGAGCGTGTACGCGACAGGATACCTCTCTCATTGCGCACCGTTCGAGAGAAAGAGAGAGAGAGAGAGAGAGAGAGAGAGAGAGAAAAGAAAGAAAGATAAAACGACCATTAGCATTGAATCGTGCAATAAATTACGGCCATGATGCGGCAATCGCGAGCCCTAAAGTAATCTCCCTCTCTCCCTCCCCCTCCCCCCGTTACCGTGGCATAAATCACCCTCTCGCTAATGCGGCGTCGCAATAACGCACGGACGTGGGTATGCGAATATTTACGAGAACATTTAATTAACCGACATCTTCCCTTTCGCTCGCCCCGAGACGCCGCCAGATCGCGAAAGGATCTTACGTGGATTGTACCGCAGAAATCGGTAGCGCGCACGACACCTTCCACCTTCTCTCTCTCTCTCTCTCTCTCTCTCTCTCTCTCTCTCTCTCTCTCTCTCTCCCCCCGTCTCCCCC